TTTCTATAATCAAATAATTATTTGCGATAAATAGGAGATTCTTATCCTGTTTGTTAATATCTGCATATTACTTGATTTTATTAGTTTTTTCTTTATCATAATTCATTATTTTTTTCGAAATTTTGAAAACAGTTATATTGTCTGTCTGGTTCAAATATTCAAACAATTTATCCTTACTAAGTTATTATTTAGATTGACGGATGAACGTTCGTCTATGTGACAGCATTGTTACTCCCGTCTAGATAATTGAGTTAGAATTATTGTAATCTTAAGCATACAGTAATGCTTAGGCAAAAATAGATGTGTTGGTTATTAAAGAATGTTCTAAGCTGATTAGGGATGTGCAAATGCGACCATCGCATCACAGATTTATTCCTAACTTTTTTGACAAATCTTTCTTATAAGGATGAGACTTCCTCATTAGAATCAAAGTTTTTATAAAGTTATATCTAATTAAGTAGGAAATGCTCCTTTTAATTCGGAAAATTCAACACTAATCTTCATAATACATACCATCTGTTTAAGCAGGAATATATTCGCATTTTAACTTTGATGACGAAATGGTTAGCTTGAGAAATCTTCTTATTTCCTTTATTATCCTATAGTTCAAAGGCGCATTTATATAGAAAATAGAAATGAAAATATTTTTTTTCTAAAAATCTTCTCGATTTAAATAACTTTACGCTATTAAGAGAGATATAACTGATACAATGATATGAGTAGAGCTGACGTTTACCTTGAATACCACACAGCCTGGGTTTCCAAAAAGTTATACTCATCCAGGGTGGATTGCAGTTTCGTTTGCTTCATCGATAATCCCATTAAAAGAAGGTCTGGCCTTCCTTGAAATTCGAATCTGCTCTGTGATCCAAGGGCACTCATGGCAATGTGGCCGAGTGGTAAACGTGTCAAGCTCCCATTTTGCACTGTCACGGGTTGACTCCCGCTGGGGGTGTTGATATGACCGATGCGAGGTTGACACTGCAGTCAAACCTGGATGAGAACAACTTTTGGGAAAGCAAGGCTATGTGAAATTCAAAGGAAACGTCAGCTCTACTCATATCATTGTGGGAAAATTCTACATCCAGTCGTTCATCACCTTCACGAAATTGGGTGAATTCATCTTATATTACTGATTTACTGTGAGTTTAGAAACTGTACTTTAATACGAAAGATGTAACTGAGTTTTGAAATCAGGCTAAAGCAAAATGCAAAGTTCATTTAATCAATCTCATATTGGAGATCCCCGTCGTCTTAATCACAAAAAGGTGGGTTAATTTAAAGTTATATGTTGAAATTTTTTGGCTCATTGTTTAAGAGCACAAGTTGAACAGCTATAAATGTCCCAAATGCATTATTTTTGTTTAAAATAATAGCACTAGAATATCTTAATGTCATCTTTATAGGCAATAATTTGAATTTTTCTAATTTGAAAATTAGGCGAAAAATTATTGTATAAAAGAACTAGGCAGTCTTTGTTGCCCAAGGCTACAAAGGGTTCATAGTTAAATTTTCCTACAATAATATAAGTAGGCCTTATATTTCCGTTTAATTTCACATGGCCTTGCCTTCCAAATGGTATTATCGTCCAGGGCAGACTGCGGTTTTGACCTCGCCTAATACTTATCAGCACCTCCAGAGGAAATAAATCTGGGTTGTGGATCCTATAATCTTGACACTTCACCACCACCCCACATCGTCATGAGTTCTCCTGAGTTACAGGACTCACCCAAATTTCAAAGATAGCTGAACCTTTCATATATTTATTATGGTATTTTCAATAAGTAAAACTTGTATATTACATTATAATAAACTACATTACTTACATTTATAAAAAAGTAGGATCTGAAACTATCATTAAATATTGTGTAAAGGTTCCAGTCATGTTCTTTATTATTTAAATTATATTCTTCAAGTACGAAATCGAATCCGGTTTCTCTAGAAATTTTACGTGAAATTATCATCACAGTTAGACAGACGCCCTATATAATTTAATCGCAATAACTAAAACAGATCAGAGTTTAAATATCCAAGTGTTTTGTTATTCTAGCTTAGTTGCTGTTACTCTGAAGACTTTATTAACTGATTCCTTGAGTGCAACTAAAATTAGATATTAGCTAGTTCATTGATATAGTAATTGCTAACAAATAAGGCAAAATGTGCGCAAATTTGCCCTACATTAACACAACATTTTTTAATGTAGATTATTTTCTATTATCTATTATCACATCTGGCAGAAACTCTTCAAAACTTGCCATAGTCTCTTTTACATAAAAAATAAATCGCAATGTATGAATGCCTACATTCACTAGAGCAACCATAATTAGCTTACCCCATCTGTGTAGTCGGCATTCTTATAATGCTGAGCAATGTACTCTACTCCTGAAATTGCCTCCTGTACATTGGTAAGCTGACTCCACATTGATTCCGGAATCTCAGTTCTTTGTCCATCTGAACATTTTTGGTGCCGAATTGGATATTTTCGGTGCTGAGGTGATCTATGTGACCCATAGGTCGATGAGTTTACGGAAGTTGTAGACCATTCAAGACACTTATCATTTATAAAAGTATGGTTTTTTGGTTTATGATTCTCCTCTATAAGTTTTGAATTTATATCGTCGTTGTCCTTCTCTTTTTCTCTGTAATTTTTTGGCGAAATTCTTCTGTCGTCAAATGCCTCTTTCACTCCTATCTCTTTGAATGCATGTTTAGCATAATACTTGCCTCGAAGTATCCCCTCTTCCTCGCTAGACTGCCAACTGATTTCGGACAATATTTCTTCCTCTAATATTAGATCGGAATCAAAATCATCATTAGAAACTTGCTCTGTATTTACATCGGCGGATTCAGAATAACAGCTTGCGCTTCCGTCTATTTCTCTACTTTTCTCTTTCATTTTTAGTGTTAAGCTCCTCGGTTGATCTCCCTCATCTTCCATTCCACAACTAAATTCTTCCTTAGACTCTTCACTATCAATATATCCGCTCAGTCCTAAATCTTCTCCATTTTCTTCTTCTTTTTTATTATAAAGCTCCTCATTATCACATATATTCTGCGTAATCTCACTCAATTCTTCCTCTTCTAATTCATCCAGCACTCTATCTCCCTTAATTTTAGCCACTCTATCATCATAAGTAGACGAAACAAACTCCTCTTCGTTTTCAACTTCTTCATTCTCTTCTTCCTCAGCTTCTTCAAATTCTTCTTCAGGCTCTTCCTCTTTTACTATTCTTGTCATTCTTCTTTCCCTTCCACCAGCTCTAAAGTCAATGATCTCGCCATCTACTCGCACCTCTCCCGCCTCCCCCTCATCGTCAACTTCTTCGTTTTCTCCCTCTTCTTCCTCCCCATCTTCTTGCTCCTGTTCAACATTCCTGTCATCATCATCAATCATTTCATCGCCAAATTCCTCCTCACTATAATCTTTCTCTTCTTGTTCTTCTTCTTTTACCTCCTTTTTCCTTGTGTTTTCAGCTCTTGGGGCCAAATTAATAAAAATTGATGGATATGAATTATTTTGGTTTTTCAAGCCTTCTGGAGAGTTACACGAGAACACTCTTCTACTCACCATTTCGTTGGTATCAAAAACAACTGACTGAACATTGGAATTACGTATATCTGTTCTCCAATTTTCGATTAACTTAACCTTTGTAGATTGTTCCTTTGTCCCAACGTATCCAACCTCTTCTAAGGTCGAAGAAGGAACTGAACCATTTCGTCGGTCATACTGGCCGTAGTTTCCCGCTTTTACTGTCATAAGCAGGCCCCTTGTTGAGGAGCTAGAGGCTACCACTGGGCCATCATCTGTAAAGATACGACTAGCCAATACTGGAGGCCCGATCCAAGCTTGTAAATCCAGTTTGGGCTTGGAAACTTGACTACTATGACTTCTTGCTAATCGATGACTAGGTCCTCTTGACCTCGAAAATTCCTCAGCAGTGTAACCATGTTCCGAAAGTACATGGCGGGACAGGGGACTAGAGGTGGAGCTGCGCGCTTGTTCTTGTTCTAGATGTAACCTTTCTCGTACCTGGATCGGAGTTAGTCCTTCAATTACTCCATCAGGGGAGATATTCCGATCAAATGAGCAGGTTCTCGACGAGGTGTGTCCAGTTATACGATATGGGCCAGGTGTTAATTTTTCTTTGTAATTTTTTGAATATTGATGAGAGCAACTTGTTTGGGTCTGGTTTGGCTTGAACAATATATCAAAAAGGCGATTGCGTTGTTATTAGAACAAAATGTGAAAACGATTATTATAAGATATTTATACATAAGTGCTGTCATAAAATATTAAGCAACTGTATTCAAATGCAAGATTACTTCGCCATCTCATGACTCATTCTCTCTACATCCGCACACATTTCATTATTTCTCTCTTGTCTTCTAACATAGCTTTACTACGTGTCTTTTATGAGCCATGTTGGCCAGTTGATTAACCTCCTCTGCTCGGTTTATTTCTAAAAATGCTCTATAAGATCATATTTTGTTACCTCGCTTTTCGAGATGTTGTTAAGCACTGTATGTTCCTTCTCTATGGCTTCAAAATCATCAGCACTTTTCTCCCTGCCGTTTGCCCTGCTATATATATTCTACTGATAATTTCTCATGTAGAGCATCAGCCAAACTCTGTTTTGATTTCGATCTATTCTTTAACAAGTTTTAGATCTATCTATTCTCAACAGCATATAGTTCAATTAAATTTATAATGGATACTGGTCCTAGAAACTCAGGGATTGTTTTAGAATTTGCTAACTTAATTAGCTTCTGAAGTTGGCAAGGTAAAATGTTGTGCCTAACAGGCCAATTAAATTATAGCTATATTAGTGTGGAATAAGATGGATATTATTATAAGAATTTTATATATTTTTACGGAACTGATGAGCATGGCGAACAAATAGTTTGGGATTTAAGTCAATTGAAAGAGTGTAAGTTGATGAGTATGCTATAAATTAATTTGTAAGACAACTGGCGGCAGAAAAATAACGAGATAAATGATTTTAAACAATGTGCACGACTCCCAAAAATAATAACAGATTTTAACTGAGAGCTTCGAAAGACCAAATCACTGCCTATATCAGACCATTCATTTGGGTTTACAAAGATTTATTGAATGACTTAACAATACTTCTGATTGCATCTATTTTAGTGCTTAATAAATGATAATTAATCTGGAAGTCGTTTCTTAGATTAGTCGTAGGAAGAATAGTCATCCATCGATGTAAAACTATAGAGCAATCGTACATAATGTTGATAAATCAAAATGATGTTTTTACAACCAATAATTGAGCTTTAAAGTGATTGCCACAAGCGGAATCACTGATTTGAATGATCTACGTGTTCATAAGCTCTACTTAGGTCTTAATGATTGACGCAAAATATGAAAGGAAGTTTGAGCAACCAATAGGGTTCCAGCCCTGTGCAATAAGCTTATCTTAAAAGATAATATAAGAGGCCCCTATAGCCTCATATATGCATATGTTTTACCTCACTTATCTATTTGATGAGATATGGGTCAGTTCCTTTCTTGTTTTTGGCCGAATTCAATGCTGGCAAGGCATTTAAATGTACCTCCAGTTATTGCTTTATCTGACAACGCTTAGGATCATCATGTAAATAGGAAGTAAGTACATAGCCTTACCCTATCTCCTGCAAGAAAGTTAAGTTTCATATTGATGATCCAAGTAGATATCGGGTTGATTAAAAGAATTTATACATGCTATATGACTAAAATAATTAAGAATAACAAATATTATCTAGAGGCCTGATTATATCGTTGCACTCGGAGTGGTGCAATCAGGTTTCACATTAAAGTTACCGAATGCCAAATTACCATCATTAAAATGCTCGAATTAAAAACTGGGGGGGACTACCATTTCGTATGAAGGTGCATGAAGAAGAGATTCGTTGGTCTATCTTACAAGATGAGCACTGATGCATCTCGTTGTACTGCAGCCGATTGGCCATCATACAGCGTTCAGGTTGACGCAGTCCACGAGATTTCCTTGCTAGTTTCAATTAAAAAACGGGCTAAGCTTTCGTCCATCATATGATAGACATCATCAGAGCTTAGTGGCATTCTTGTAAAAGTCTCACGTTAACACTAGGGCAAGAACACTATCCGGCGTTATCTTACCTCTTATATAGACTCAATTAACCCAAAAGAAAATTAAAAACCTAGATAGATCAATATAGAATGGTTTGGCTAATCATCCTTTATATTGGTCATGATACTCGTGTTCGAGTGTGTGTATGTGTGTGTATGTGTGCACGTTAGCTTCTATATGCAATATCGGTTCTAAATCAGAGTTGTCAAAATACTCGGATAATCAAGGCCTAATGATCCAGCAGAAAACTTTCACAGAAACTCCGTAATTCC